TAGAGCTAATATTCAAAAGGATCTTGATAAACTGGAGAACAGGGCTATAGACAAGAAAATGAAATTCAACAAAAACAAATGTAAGGTGCTACACTTAGGGAAGAAAAATCAATTGGACAAATACAGAATGAGGGATAACTGGCTTGGCAGCAGCACTGCTGAGAAGGATCTGGGTGTTGCAGTGGATCACAACCTCAACATGAGTCAGCAATGTGATGCTGCTGCAAAAAAAGGAAATGCAGTTTTAGGTTGCATTAGCAGAGGCATAGCATGCAAGTCATAGGAGGTGATAGTACCTCTCTACTCAACACTGGTTAGGCCTCAGCTGGAGTACTGTGTCCAGTTTTGGTCACCAATGTATAGAAAGGATATAGAGAAACTGAGAAGGATGCAGAGGTGAGTGCCAAAGATGATCCATGGGATGCAATGAAAGCCATATGAGCAAAGGCTGAAGGAACTGGGTATGTTTAGTTTGGAAAAGAGGAGATTAAGGGGGCACATGATAGTGGTTTTCAAATACTTCAAAAGCTGCCATAAAAAAGTAGAAAAGTTGTTCTCTCTTACCACAGAGGGTAGGACAAGAGGCAATGGGTTCAAACTACAGCATGGCAGATTTAGATTAAATCTCAGGAAAAACTTTCTAACTGTAAGAACAGTAGGACAATGGAACAGACTGCCTAGGGAGGTCATGGAAGCTCCTTCACGGGAGGTTTTCAAAAGGAGGCTGGATAGCCATCTTGGCAGGGGGGCAATTAATAATTTGTCTGTCAAGCTTTTTAAAATCATGACGCACAGTCTTATAGAATCACAGAACCATAGGGTTAGAAGGATCAGCAAGAGTGATGGGTGGCCGGAGAGCGGTGGCTGCTGGCTGGGTGCCTGGGGGAGGCGTAAACTACTAGAAACACAAAGAAGGGGGGTGCGATCAAATAACTTTGCGAACCACTGGACTAGATGACTCTTGCTGATCCTTCTAACCCTATGGTTCTGTGATTCTATAAGACTGTGCGTCATGATTTTAAAAAGCTTGACAGACAAATTATGCTTCACAAATTGGTCTAATGCAGGATTTCTAATGGTCTAATTGCAGAGCCATTGGCCATTATCTTTGAAAACTCGTGGCGAACCGGGGAAGTCCCGGATGACTGGAAAAAGGCTAATGTAGTGCCAATCTTTAAAAAAGGGAAGAAGGAGGATCCTGGGAACTACAGGCCAGTCAGCCTCACTTCAGTCCCTGGAAAAATCATGGAGCAGGTCCTCAAAGAATCAATCCTGAAGCACTTGCATGAGAGGAAAGTGATCAGGAACAGCCAGCATGGATTCACCAAGGGAAGGTCACGCCTGACTAATCTAATCGCCTTCTATGATGAGATTACTGATTCTGTGGATGAAGGGAAAGCAGTGGATGTATTGTTTCTTGACTTTAGCAAAGCTTTTGACACGGTCTCCCACAGTATTCTTGTCAGCAAGTTAAGGAAGTATGGGCTGGATGAATGCACTACAAGGTGGGTAGAAAGCTGGCTAGATTGTCGGGCTCAACGGGTAGTTATCAATGGCTCCATGTCTAGTTGGCAGCCGGTATCAAGTGGAGTGCCCCAAGGGTCGGTCCTGGGGCCGGTTTTGTTCAATATCTTCATAAATGATCTGGAGGATGGTGTGGATTGCACTCTCAGCAAATTTGCGGATGATACTAAACTGGGAGGAGTGGTAGATACGCTGGAGGGGAGGGATAGGATACAGAAGGACCTAGACAAATTGGAGGATTGGGCCAAAAGAAATCTGATGAGGTTCAATAAGGATAAGTGCAGGGTCCTGCACTTAGGACGGAAGAACCCAATGCACAGCTACAGACTAGGGACCGAATGGCTAGGCAGCAGTTCTGCGGAAAAGGACCTAGGGGTGACAGTGGACGAGAAGCTGGATATGAGTCAGCAGTGTGCCCTTGTTGCCAAGAAGGCCAATGGCATTTTGGGATGTATAAGTAGGGGCATAGCGAGCAGATCGAGGGACGTGATCGTTCCCCTCTATTCGACATTGGTGAGGCCTCATCTGGAGTACTGTGTCCAGTTTTGGGCCCCACACTTCAAGAAGGATGTGGATAAATTGGAGAGAGTCCAGCGAAGGGCAACAAAAATGATTAGGGGTCTGGAACACATGAATTATGAGGAGAGGCTGAGGGAGCTGGGATTGTTTAGCCTGCAGAAGAGAAGAATGAGGGGGGATTTGATAGCTGCTTTCAACTACCTGAAAGGGGGTTCCAAAGAGGATGGCTCTAGACTGTTCTCAATGGTAGCAGATGACAGAACGAGGAGTAATGGTCTCAAGCTGCAGTGGGGGAGGTTTAGATTGGATATTAAGAAAAACTTTTTCACTAAGAGGGTGGTGAAACACTGGAATGCGTTACCTAGGGAGGTGGTAGAATCTCCTTCCTTAGAGGTTTTTAAGGTCAGGCTTGACAAAGCCCTGGCTGGGATGATTTAACTGGGAATTGGTCCTGCTTCGAGCAGGGGGTTGGACTAGATGACCTTCTGGGGTCCCTTCCAACCCTTATATTCTATGATTCTATGATTCTATGATTCTGAAGGAAGTCACTAACTGCACAGAGGTTAGTAGACATACACTCATTCTACTTCTCCGCAAGCCTGGTAAAAAGATGCTGTTCACAATGGCATTATGTTGGATCATATTAAAGAAGTTCTGTATTAAAATCACAAATGAGTTTGATTCCCCAGAGTTTAAATTCCAGGGTATTACTAATTAAGAGGTCTCTTGGTTTTTGGTACTGTTTCTCTCCCTCTATGTGTGAAACTTGCAAGCTGCTAATTGTGTTAGTACATTCTAAGACAGAGTCTATTCTCAAAGCAATTCACAGAGAGAGAGACTCAAAGCAATACTCTAACAACAGAAACAGCACCCAGAGACTCCCCGCCCTTTTGTTGTATTAACAATTGTGATTAAAATAGAGATAGAGGATGTATGTGGATGGATGCTTGGTGTGGATAATAACTGAATGATCAGGGAGGTGCCAGCCTAAGAATCCAGTGTCCATCGGCTGAAGAAGGCGTCAAGTGGAAATAACCAGAGGACCCCCGGAGGGCAGACTGGAATCCACCCAACAGCCTCAAGAATGGGAGAACCAAAGAACAAGATAACATCTTGGAGCCGTCAGGAATGTGCTAACTGCTGATTGATTCAGCAACAGCATGATGAAGCAATTCCCATAGACTCGCATAGGAAGAAATTCCTATAAAAATAGACTCTAAAAAGTGAGAACTTTGGGGTCTGATTCTGCAAACCAACTTCCAGGAGCATCAGATGAGCATCTGACAAGGCCCTGCTCCCTCCTCATGTCCAGGCCACCTGGCCAGTGGCTTGGCATGAGCAACTCTAAGGCTGGTAACTATGATAACAACCTTGCAGAACCTGTGTGTGTGTGTGTGTTTGTATGAATGAATGTGTGAATAAATATGAGATTGAATGGAATGTTATAACTATAACTAACTGCTTACTATGATTCTTTCTGTATTCACAATAAATGTGGTATTTTGCCTTTTTCCCTTTAATAAGATCCTGCTGGTTTTTATTTTATTGGTACAACAATTTCAGAAGCTGATTTGTGGACAATGTGCTGATAAGCCAAATTAGTGACCAAAAGAAAACTCAAGGCACTGTGCACTGTTCACAATTCTTAAGTAAAAGCAGGTTTATGATTCTGGCTGATCAATTTGCACTGAGTCCATTAGCTAGTGTGGCATTTCTGTAGGCTTTCTGTTTAAATGTAGCTTTCTTTACTGATCAATCTGTACACCTTGGAGGCTAACTAACATTAATAAAACAGTAGCCATGTTTTGTATTTCATGGCAGGGGAAATCCTCCAATAGCAAAGCTGCAGAGTTATTTCAAGTAGCCTGAAAATGTCAGCTCCCTAGTGAGGTTTTAACAGAGTCCTGAGAACAAAATCTTCCTTGAACTGAGCAAGCCAACAAGTTAATAGGGATTTCTGCCCCAGGCAGAGGACACAGAATGTAGTGGTTTTGCTTCTACTTGTTCATTTGTAAGTCTTTCTGCTGTTTATTCTCACATTCTATTTGATGCCATGTGTCTAGAACCAATCACTGATGAAGAGATTCAGCAAAGGCTTTAAAAGAAGGAATTAATTCCATTCAGCATCCCTCAGCCAGTAAAACTCAAAGAAAAAAAACAAAAACCAGGTCCCTCACTTTCATCATGAAGAAATGGCAGAAGCTCAACTGAGGCCTGTTCTGGCTTTCTATGCTCCACCAAAATTACTCAAAGCACAGATCTCAGCAATGCATGGAAAACTGTACAGAATATATCACAGCCCTTGCAGTTCAATCCAACACCCATTCAAATCCACAAAAAGACTCCCACTGACTTAAATGGGGCTTGGATTGGGCCTTCAGAAGCTCCACATTTTGTTTTGAGTTTATTTGATTAACTAGATAGATTCTTCTCTCAGTTTACACCGGTGTAACTCAGATTCCGAATAACCATGTCCAAGACAATTGAGTCCTCCTGATTCACACTAGTGTAACTCACACTAGAATCTGGCCTTATGTATGGATCCCCAGAACACCAAACTCATTTTTGTTTGGAGTGAAACATGCAGCCAGACAGTAACACACATGCCCAATCTACCAAGTATGCACCGTCTACACTTGTGTTGGATTAAAGCATTTTAGAGTAATATGAAAATGTTAGATCTAGCTAATTTAATAACCCTTCCTCCTGAGCCACTGCCAGCTATCATTGAGAGAACAGAAAACAGAGACATAACACATCATTAAGAATCAACATGAGAATAAGGAGAATAAATATATATATATTTAAAAAATGATACTGAAATGTGGTAATATCATTACATAGAAATAACTCATGGAATGGCACGGTATTGCTGAGACAAATTTCATTACTTTATAGATGCCATTTTTGCTGACATGGAAAATATTTGACAATGGCTAACAGACAGTTAAGCTTACTGTAGCCTGCTGGAAAGTTTCTGGATGAGGTCCGCTTCTCTCCTTTTGAAAGTGAACGGGACAATGTGATTACTACCCAGTGTTGCTTGTGTATCACTTCAGCCAGGAAAAGAGTTGTGAAAATGACAGGAAAACATGGTGCTGTTATCACATGACACAATAACGTAAAACATATACTCATCTAGACATACTGCCTTTGGCATGGCTAGCATAAGAAATTAGTACATGTTATATTTTTCTTCCCCATTAAGCCTAACTAATGCACCTCTCTTCAAATGGAGCAAAGCAGTTCTTGCATTTGAAGATCGTTGAGCTGTACTGTTAATGCATTATATTGTATGCCTTTTATTTTTTTAAAACAATGGAAATATTATTTTCAGTTGTAATGTTAAAAACACCAATCATTGGAATCAATTTTCTAACAACATAACTAAGTATTAATAACATTCAGACTGCATAGATTCACAACATTGATCACCATCACATAGCTTCCTCTTGGGCTCTGATAAAGGAGAATTTCTTACCACAAAAACTAGTGTGTCTTGGATCCACCAATCTAGGAGTGGTGGCCATTCCCATTTAGACCTGTCAGTCAAGGTGAATCAGCCCATCCACTACTGAATACTTTTTTATGCCTGGGGCACACTATATCCTTCCCTTTTATTTCCAGATAGATCTCTGCAGCTAACAGAAGAGCTGAAGGCTAACTACTACTGTACACTGTGTATTCAGGCTCTCAATTAGAGCCTCTCACACGCATTCCAGGTAAGAAATTTCCCTTTCCCGTGACTAGGATCCACTCTTTCAGCATTGATGGGTTCTGAGTTGTACACCTTACTAAGGGCAATGGGGAGGACAGACAGGAAATGATCACTCAAATATCTGTACGTACAAATAAAGCAATGACCAACAATGTTCAGAAACAAATGCATGCCTTTGCTCACCTCATCATCTGCAAATGCCCTAAAACTAAGTTTATCTGTTACAATTGCTCTTAAAGCCATTTTGCTAAAGTAGCCCTTGTGACTTTTCTTACATTCTTAACAAAAGAAGTTCTATCGGTGACTCAAGCTAAGTGCTAGGGAATGTAAAAGCTCTAGGTTGCATTGGTTTCTCTGTTTGAGCAGGGTGTGGAAGAAGTTTAGGTAATGACACCTCTTGGCTAATTCTGAAATTCAGTGCAACTTTGGAGAAAAACCTGATCCTGGAAGTAACACACTGGTATCTGCTGCAGAAAAAGCTAGATCTGAGGCAAGGGAATCATCCAGCTAGGAGAGAAAAGAGGGATTGCCTATCCAGAAGGCTGCATTTATCACAACTACTTCAGTGACCACAAGAGAGGCCACAGCAAGACTAACTGGAAGATCCTAGTACAACACCAAACATGACATGTATTTTGAAGGCAACCCACAAATATGTCATGGGATTGAGGAGGTGACTGACTATCAAATGTATCAATGCTCTATAGTCTCCTAAGTCTAGTGTTATTGTGACAGACTTTAAATGTTGGGTCCATTTAAAATGGTTGTGTCTGCCCTGACTATTTCAGATCTACAAAGTACTTTGGCTAAACAGCTACGGAAGCTCTCCTGGAGCAAGGCCAACAGCTGCCAGAGAATCATTTCCCCTTCTTTAATCTACAGGGAAATGAAAGTTATTATGAAAAAAAGAGAGAAAGCATCATTCCTGAGAGAGATACCTGTTTGGAATATCAGAGAGAATGCATATATCCACTGGATTACACAGAAGCCCACATCCTCCTGGAAAATGGTTATCACCCCTAACCAAGCTGTCCTAACCTGGGAATCAGAAGCGATTTTGGTGGACTTTACTCATCTCTAATTGATTGTGTCTACTTGCCAGCCAAGGTATCACTGAGACCAAGCATGAAGGAGAAATGGTCTGTCCAGCTCTACTCCAAATATTCTAGGTGTTCCACAAAGGGGGAACCAGGCCTAGCTCAAGGAAAGACTTCCCAGGACTGCCATTAGTTGATGAGATCCATTGGAATTCTGACTGGGACATCTGACTCTCCTTTGCTTTAAGGCCTCCCAACATGCAAAGTCTTGATGATGGGGCACAATTCCACCCATCTGAGATTCACAGCAGAGGGCTGTAGTCACCTAATCACAATATATAAGGAACCTAATTAATTTTAGTCCCGTTCTGAAGTCTACTTCTCCAATTAATGGAGTGGCTAGAATAATTTAATCATGCAGGCCAAAAAACAAACAACTCATCCAATTACACAAAAGCTTGATGCAGAGCATGCAGTGTTACTGTGGCAGAATAGCTCCTCTGCATGGGATCTTCTTGATTGATTCTGAAACCACTGCAGATTTTTCTGATGCATTTCATCCATTCAGCCCAGATTATTTCAACTTCCCACACTATAAGGTGAAAAGATAACATCAGCAAAGAGGAGAAAAAGCTGACAATGGTGGCCTGAAAGGATGAGCTACGGTTCTTTGAATTTGCATCTTTTCCTCTTCTTGTTGTCCATTTCATGGTGCTTGGCAAAAAACAAAGGCATGAATTCAGAGGAAACGACTGTCAGTTTTGAACCAGTAGACCAGAGGGCTCAAAACAGCTCTGAGTAACCAAACAAAAATACAAACTGCTGCTCATATGACAATGAGATGACTTTAATACTTAAAGAATAAAGTACTTGGTTTCTGTTTTTATTAAATTCAGCAGGTGTGAATATCAGACTGTCGATGACAAACTTTAATTGTTAGAAAAGTTAACAGAGCAAAAAATTTACTGGGGTTTTGGGAGGCAGGGTCAGACCAAAGGTCCATCTATCCCAGTAGCCTGTCTTCCAACAGTGGCCAATGCCAGGTGCTTCACGGGGAATGAACAGAACAGGTAATTATTATCCCCTGTAATCCATCCCCTGTCACCCATTCCCAGTTTCTGGCAAACAGAGGCTATGGACACTATCCCTGACCATCCTGGCTAATAGCCATTGATGGACCTATCCTCCATGAATTTGTCTAGTTCTTTTTTGAACCCTGTTATAGACTTGGCCTTCACAACATCCTCTGGCAAAGAGTTCCACAGGTTGACTGTGCATTATGTGAAGAAATACTTCCTTTTGTTTGTTTTAAACCTGCTGCCTATTATTTTCATTTGGTGACCCGTAGTTCTTGTGTTATGTGAAGGAGTAAATAACACTTCCTTATTTAATTTCTCCACACCAGTCATGAGTTTATACACCTCTATCATATCCCCCCTTAATTGTCTCTTTTCCAAGCTGAAAAGTCCCAGTCTTATTAATCTCTCCTCATATGGAAGCCGTTCCATATCCCTAATAATTTTTGTTGCCTTTTTCTGAACCTTTTCCAATTCCAATATATCTTTTTTAAGATGGGGCGACCACATCTGCATGCAGAATTCAAGATGTGGGCGTACCATGGATTTATATAGAGGCAATATGATACTTTCTGTCTTATTATTTATCCCTTTCTTAATGATTCCCAACATTCTGTTAGCTTTTTTTGACTGCCGCTGCACACTGAGTGGATGTTTTCTGAGTACTATCCACAATGACTCCAAGATCTCTTTTTTGAGTGGTAACAGCTAATTTAGATCCCATCTTTTTATATGTGTAGTTGGGATTATGTTTTCCAATGTGCATTACTTTGCCTTTATCAACACTGAATTTTATCTGCCATTTTGTTGCCCAGTCACCCAGTTTTGTGAGATCTCTTTATAACTCTTCACAGTCTGTTTTGGATTTAACTATCTCGAGTAGTTTTGTATCATCTGCAAATTTTGCCACCTCACAGTTTAGTCCTTTTTCCAGATCCTGATTCACTAGCCTTCATATCTGGAGTCCTGGGTATAAGACCATCTTATGTCACAAATATAATGACTTTGGGGACTTCTATGTAATCCTTCTCAGACATTTCTCCATGTCACAAAAACAGCAAAAAATGAATCAAGTGAGGCCCAGCAATAATAGCCAGAGAGTACACCTGGTCAAAAACAAGGTGCACTGTTAGTACTGTACAAGCACCTAATACTAACCAGTGCTAGTACTGTGCTACTGTTGAAACATCAATATTCATCCAATATTTTTTAATAGAAAAGAAAGAACATAAGAACACTCTTTTATACTGAAATATTGTTATACACTTGGACAGAGTAGGAGCCACTGGATACAGAGTAGGCACATAGTCCTTGAACATAAAAAGACCAACACTTCTGAAAGCGCATGCTCCAGACTCTTACTGGCTGTTCCTAACAGTACTGGCAATGAAGGCTCAAAGAGAAAAATGCCTCATATTTTCTCTGCTTGGTGTGAAGCATCACTTTTAGAATGACTTGTAGCAGCTTCCCAACTTCAAAAAAGTAGAATACAGTTAAAATATACTGTAATTAAATAAAGTGGATTAAAATTTTATTTAAATAACAAACAATGGAGACAGAGCGATGTTCAGACATTATATATTTTCTCTCTAATCTTTCAGTTATAGTGATCTTCGGTGTCACTGCAGCACCAATAGATGAAATATACAGAAAGGACTGAGAGTTTGTAGTCGAGGGTGTCCCAAGAGATCTGCTTTCTGTGGTTTTGAGGGGAATTGGCACAGAAAATGGCAGCAGGAAATAGGAGAGGCGTTACCGTTGAATGCATCTGTCCTTATCTACAGTAGATGTGGACTTCAGTCTTACAGCTAGATTGTAAAAATACCTTACAACAGAGATAATTTCTTCTTGTCCCTTCACAGCCCCAAGCACACTGAGTGCTCAGAAAGTAACCAATCATCAGTAACAAGGCGGGAAGCTTCCCACAATCATAGGCGCTCGCACAGAGGTTTTTTACTACAAAGAACGCATTGTGTGTCTACTGGCGGTCAGGGAAGGGCTAATCTTGGAATGGCAGAAGGTAACAGTAGTGTCACTGTGGTATTCTGGATGCACATCAGGCAAATGTGATTTCTGTTTTGACTAGAAATACACACTTGGTAGCAGAAGGGAAAGCAGCAGGTGTTATTTACATGGAAGCTCTCTCTTAGAGCAAAATGTGTTCGCATGATAAAAGATTCACATAGCAGAAGAGGGGCCAAGAGGTGGGAGGTTGAGCTTCT